ATTTATATTTAATTTTAAATATTTTTTATACTTAATTTTAATTTTTAGTCGACACAGTTTATTTTAGAATTTATTGTAAAAAATTTTAAAAAGTAGTTTTGTTAGACCTTAATTTAATTTTATTAATGAAATATATGACAGGAAACTAGTTTATTCTGTTTCCAAAAATATGTTTATTTTTTCTTATCCCTACACTGTCGAAACAGTTTCAAATTTCGTTTTAACTAGAATTGGCACGAGCAGCCCTTGACAACCAAAACAGTTTTTAGCGCGTTTTGTTTTTACTCAATCAATATTTAAATTCCCTGAATCAAAAATGTTTGTAATAAATTTTTCACTGAGAGGTGCATATCAACTATTAAGAACTGATATGTGAAAATAGATTTTTGTAAAAAAAGTATGGACAATAAATCAAATGATCTTTTGAATCAGCAAAAAATATTGACATGCATATATTGTTATAAGTATTATGAGATATTAGCATTTACGTAACTACATTTTATTACATAACCAATTTGAAATCAGTAAAAATCAGTAAATATAGCGTCAACATATTTCATTATTTCGAAATGTTGTAGCAATTTCAAAATAGAGCTTTGATATTAATTCAAGTCATAAGATAGAAGTCAAAATACATATACATATGCTAAAAAATATTTGTAAATCATTTTTAAAAAACTTATATTTGACCTTGTCTTCCATATAGTTAGCAAAGGTGTAGCTAAAACCGATGATGATGCAAATATGACATGAAGCAGGTTAAAAAAAATTATGTGTAGCCTACATTTAATATATACTAGTGACTATTTTGGTTCTAAGCATTTCTCGCCTGTTCTTTTAATTTAATATTAATAGCTGCGTTTAAGGGAGACTTTTGGAGGATATTTTAATTATTTTTTCTAATTTTTTGGTTCAAGTGAGAAATTTGATATTAGATAGGTGCCAAAATTTCTGAAACCATATACATGTGCTAAAAAATATTTATAAAACATTTAAAAAAAAATATTTTTTGTCTTTGTTTTCTATATAGAAGGAACAGATGACTCTAAAATCGATGATGATGCAAATATGTTTCGAAGCGGATTTAGAAATTCTATGTAGCCAATATTTAATGTATACTATTGCCTATTTCTGTTATAGGCTTTGTTCTCTTTTGTTTTCTAATTATTATTGAAAGCTGCGTTTGAAGGTGTCATTTGGTGGACACTTTAATGATTTTTTTTTTTTAATTTTTGGTCAAAAGGTTCTTTCATATTAATATCAAATCAAAGGACAGGTGTTAAAATTTCTAAAAACATATACATATGCTGAAATATATTTATAATTTTTTTTTTTTTTTTTTGCTTTTGTTACCCTATATATTTAGCACAGATGTTGCTAAATCCGATGATGATACAATTATGGTATGATAGACGCTTAAAAAAACTCTGTGTAGTTAACATTTAATGCATGGTATTATGTATTTAATTAATGGGCAATGCTCTTCTTTGATTTCTAATTATTATTAACAGCTGCCTTTAAGGGGGTCATTTGGCAGACATTTTAATTATGTTTTATGATTCTTTGGTTCAAAGTAGAGCTTTGATTTTAATATCAAGTCAAAGGAAAGGTGTCATAATTTCTAAAATATAAACATACGTTAAAATATATTTATTAAACTTTTTTTTTAAATTTTTATTTGATCTTCGTCACTCTATATAGCAAAATTCGATTATGATGCAAATAAGAAAGGACGCGGGTGATAAAATTTTGCGTAGCCGACATTCATTGTATACCTCTTTTTTTTCCGGTTATAGGTATTGCTCTCCTTAGTTTTCTAATTATTATTAATACCTACGTATAAGGGGCTCATTTGATGGACATTATAGTGATTTTTTAGAACTTTTGGTTCAAAAGAGAACTTGGATTTTTATATCAAGTCAAAGGATAGGTGCCGAAGTTTCTGGAAACATATACATTTGCTAAATTAGGTTTATCAAACATTTTTGGTCGCGCAGTGGACTGATCGTTAAGACACGGTTCCCAGCAGATCACCGAAGTCAAGCATTACTGGCTGCGGTCAGTGTGCGGGTGGGTGACCACTTGGATTAGTCTGCGTAGGGATTGAGTGTGTGAGGTATTGGTCCTCGTTAAACTGTGCTACCGTAAAGTGTTCGACTTTGCGCGCAGGTCGTCGAGCTACCGAAGCGTGGGTGCCATCCCCTCCGCAGAGGATCAAAACTGTGATGGAATGTCTTCGGATCATCCTCAGGGATGTTTCCCAGACCGTCGCCAATAGCGCATTGTGCAGCTCTAGTGCGACGTAAATCAACTACAACGACAAACATTTCTAATTAAAATTTTATTTTGTCTTTATCACTCTATATAGTTAGCATAAAAAATTTTTAAAAAAATATTCACCACTCACTTTATATAGTTTGCACAGATGTGGCTAAATTCGATTATGATGCACTTAAAGTATGAGGAGGGTTTTAGAATTCCGCGCAGCCTTCATTTTGTGCATACTACTGTGTATTTCACTTATAGGATTTTCTCTCCTTTGTTTTCGAATTATTATTTATAGTTTTAAGAGATCATTTCTCGAACTCTTTAATAATTTTTTGGTTCAATAAATTTTATGAACAGGTGTCAAATTTTTCTAAAAATATATTTACATATGTTAAGAAATATTTATAAAAAAATTAAAGCATTTTTATTTCGTCCTTGTCCTCCAGATAGTTAACACAGATGCCGCTAAAATCAATGATGATGCAAGTATGATATGAGGCGGGTTAAAAAAATTCCGTACAGCCTAGCTATAACGCATACTATTGTCTATTTTGGTTATAGGCATTTGCTCTCCTTTGTTTTCTAATTAATATTTATAGCTGCATTTAAAGGGGTCATTTCCCGGACATTTTAATGACTTTTTCAAATTTTTTTGGTTCAAAAGAAAACTTCGATATTAATATCAAGTCAAAGGACAGTTGTTGAAATATACATACACTTAAAATATATTTATAAAACATTTTTAATTTTTTTTAATTTTTTCCTAGTCCTTTTTATATAGTTAGCACAAGTGTCGCTAAAATCGATGATGATGCAAATATGACATGATATGGGTTAAAATTTTCTCTGTAGTCTACATTTAATGTATACTATTGTCTTTTTTTTCAATTGGCATTGCTCTCCTTTGTTTTCTAATTATTATTGAGAGCTGCGTTTGAGGGCTTCATTCAATTACATTTAATTATTTTTTAAAATTTTTTGGTTCAAAACAGAAATTTGATAATAATACCAAGTCCATATGCGCATTTTGAGAAATCTTCTACAGATTTATACTTTTGCTATTGTTGTCGTGTTCATTGTCGTAGGTCATTAAGACACAGGGTGCGATTGTCCTTGTTTTCTAGTGGCGCCATCTATAGCCAAGAATTCTGCTTTTGCCACACCCATACTTCAAACCTGTTTATAGGGAGAACTTATTTATTTATCCACAGATCGTAATTTTGCCTGAACGAGAAAATGATCAATTTCCTATTCAGTACCTTCAGAGGTATAATATGTTATGGAAGTATAACTTTGTGACCCCTACAGATTTAACACGCACCAGTCACCATTTACTACTCGGGGAGTCTTTGTATTTGAACTCCGGTTCCCATGAACATGAGCTCAGCGCCCTACTAACTTGGCTATCCCGGTCTTTATACATGTGATAAAAAATATTTATAAAGCATTTTTAGGAAAAATTTCACTTTGTCCTTATCCTCTATACAATTAACTCATGGTACAACTAAAAACTTACATCCATATTTTCAGCAGCGGACTTTTTTGTTTCAGTAGGTAGTCAACATAGAGGAAGACAACTATCTTACCCCAACATGTACCAAGTTGTTATGAATTTACTGATGATATTCAAAGTACATCAACATTAGTGTATACGTAAGTGAAAATAAGTACTATGTGAATGCGCATGAGATTGGTGTAAGCTTTTCCCACTTTTGATGTTTTCAATTAAATTGTATCCTTCGTTGCTATTAAATTAAATTTTATCTTCCATTGTCAGATCTTGAATCTGTTTTAATCAAAGTAATTTGCATATTTGCAACCAGTCTACTTCTCAGCTATCGAATAAGTAGGCTGTGGGCGAATTGTGATGGCATGTCTTCGGATCATCCTCCGGGATATTTCCCAGACCGTCGCCAATAGCCCATTGTGCAGCTCTAGTGCGACGTAAATTAACAACAACAAGGCTGTGGGCGAATTAATTGGGTCATAGAGTCATTCTCACTTTAAGTGAATCACGCATCTGCGATCGTTATTGAGGGAGAATGAACAGACATAAATGGCTGTACTTACTGCATATGGTTCGCGCACCTCCGATCAACTTCGTGAATATATTTGAACCTGATTGGTGCAATATATTTTCCTGCTAAAAACCTTACCTACCATATCACCTTTTTCTCTCCTGGAAGTGCAACATTCATATATAGTGAGAATCCTGCCTAAGGGTTCCCCCCCCCTCCGAGAAAAACTCACCAATCAAAGTTCGTTATTTCTGTTGAGCACAATTGGATGTGCGTGAATCGCATGCATTGTGAACGAACCCTATAAATTGATGTTAAAGCTTTTCTACGGGCGCAATTACGAAATTGCCCCACAGTTTATCACAAAAAAAAATCTGCTAATTTGTAGCAAAGAATCCTAATTTAAAATAAAAACAAGAATTTAACACATTAAATGAGTTATGGAACATATTATATCACTTTTATTAGTCTAAAATAATAATTTTGAATAGTTCTTTTCGTTAGTTTCGGTTTCATTTAATCAAAAAGCGCTAAAAAAGAAACTAATTTTCCTGCTTTAATTTTAATGAAATAACATTCAAGTAACAGATTTTAAGTTTAATTATAAACCTATATTTACAAAAATAAAAGAAGCCAGTGCTCTTTATAAAAAATTTTTTCGATTAAAAAGGGAAAATTAGATCATTTTCCTTAAAAGGTGAAGGAAGTGTTAGGTTGAAATTTGTTGAATGGCAACAAATATCATTCTTCTGTCGAACATGGTGATTTGATTGTTGAAAGGTCTCGAAAAATTCTTTTATTAATTAATAACATTATTTCTTTGAAAAGTTATGTTCATCTCTTGGAATTCCGGTTATAATATATTAAGCTCAAGTTCAACTATCTGTTGACAAAGGTATGTTTGGGTGCGATTTTTTGTATCTTTACCAAATGGTTGTTTTGACGGGTATTTAATATTTTGTCAACAAACGTTGACAGGCTGACAATGTTAATTCAAAACTTCATTTAAGTGACGACAGTTTTCACTGTAATTTAAATAGCTCGGATTTTCTGAATTTATTGAAGCAAGAAATATTTGTTTTTTATTTCAGAAAAATTTTCATCAGATGTGCTACAGTAATTATAGTTTTTTCCCATGGCTACTTCAAGTAGTGGTCGACGCAGAGTCTCAGGCAAATTATATGCTGCTGAAGATCAGGCATTCAGTCAAATCGCAAAGGAGGTTAGTGTTTGGAAATACTTTATTATTGCTACTCTTTTATTATGCATTCATTCTTTCTAAATTACATAATCAAAATACACCAAGGTGTGCAAACATTTGGTGTATTAATATCATATCATTGTAATGTATATCATTTGTATCATAATATCATGCGTCTGATTATCCATAAATTTCTTCCAATTAAAACATGAAAACGTACCAAGAGGTGCAACATTGGAAATGAATTATTATTTCCGATAATGCAAATACTTGGTATATTCATCTTAAATGTGTGCTAGGATCTATCTTGATTGTAGACAATCATATTGGATTGTCACATAAGTCTAATTTCTTATAATTTAACATCAGAATATAGTTAGGTGTTCAAACATTTAGTATATTTATCTTAAGTGCTTGTCTGGATCTATCCTGATATTAGGCAGTCACATTGCATTATAGCACAAGTATAATTTTATATAATTCATGTATTAAAATACACCTCAATATGCCAACATTAGGTGTATTTATCTTAAAAGCTTGCTAGGATCAATCATAATTACAGACCATTACATTGTACTGTACTGTTTTCTATAAATCTATTCTTGTGGGAAACTTTACCTTTAAGCTTTATTTATGTTAAGTTATGAAATGCTCCATCATTAAAGAATAATTTGCACTTTTGTTTATTATAAACTTGTTGAAAAAGAAGCCGATAAACAAATACCTATTTGTTTCATAAGTAAAGTAGTAATTATCAACTAATTTATTCAGGATATATAAAGATTGTTTGAATTTATTTAATGAAAAAACTGACAAAATAGAAATCAAAGCCAGTTTCGCTCAATTATTAGCACATGTTATTTGGGACAACTTTGTAGTAATCTTTCTATGTAATAAGTCCTTTTATACATTTAGTCTTAATAGTTAATATTTCTATCTCTTTTATTTTAATTCTTTAACAATGAAAATATTTATATATTTGAAAATTCCGTCACTGTTTGGCACCTTATTCATAGATATTCTATAATTAGTTTTGCATATTTGAATATTTTCAACTTCTATTTTCTTCCATAAATGCTTTGTAGCAGAAAATGAAAGAATAATAGTTTTCATTATGATTGTTTTACTCATTGTATATATTGGTGTAGCATTTAAGTTTGTATAAATTCTTGGGTAAAGCTTTTAATTATTGTGGTTTAGAACTTTGTCACATGGTATTTTTTGCCTATTTCAGTCTTAGTACTTTTTACTATAAGAATTATCGAGTCATATTGCCTCTCATGAAGTCTTGTTATAATTGCTAATTATGAAACAGATAGTGATATAGGCAGATAGTTAGCAGTCATGTTCACATGTATAAATTTTCCTTATCCATGTAGAAAATTTATAAAATTGTAGTTTCTAGTGAGTGATCCGAATAAATGTAAGAAAAGATTGTTTGTTTACATATGACTAATATTTAGTTAAACTGTTATGTTTGTGTATTCCAGATGAATTATTTTTAGTCACCAACTATAGCCACAAAAAGTGTTATTTGGTGAAACCTTAGAAAATTGTGTATACCAGCTGTTGTAGTTCTCATAATCCTTAATGGGTAGTTCTGCGGTGATTTCTTATAATTCAAAAATAATAATATCAAGTTATATATACCTTCAGTAAAATTCACGATTATACATTGACTTCCACTATACACTGTTCTCGAAAATTACACCAAACATTTTTCTTAATAATTTGCATTAAGAACTCAATATCTCACTAATAAAATAGTTTATATTTATTCATGTATTTGGTCATTACTCTACTTTCCCAGCCATATATTTTAATGGTGTTGTATTTTGTAGACATTGATGTTGGTGTTGACTTATAAATCTAGATTTCAATTAATTTTTTGGGGGGCTATGGCTATGGTGGCTCCTATTTGCCACAGAGAGTTTTATCTTTATTTCAACTATCAAATCATTGTTCTCAGTGGCTATAGTTCTTAAATATTTTAGCTGTGTTATGTTTCAACAAAAGCTTTGATTGTTGTATGATTGCAATCACTTCAATGATACCTTAGTTCACATGACAATACTATTGCACTCTGGCAGGTGTGGCAAATTGTTTGACAATGTGTTGTAATTATTAAGAAATCAATTTATTCAAATGAAACCCAGCATCAGATCAATGAGTATCAGCTTGTCTGAAAAATAAAGACTCCTGGTGTGTGGTGCACTAAGTTAATCACCACATCGCTTTCACCTTGCCATGTTGTTGGTCTTGACTCTTGAAATTGTGGATTCTTTAAACTCTGTGATCCCCTTGGGAAACAAATGGTTGTAGCAAAACTGTTAGTATTTTTTAAATAATTTGTTACTTATCCAATTAAAATTTTTTAGCAATTTCAGTTTTGAAAAAGAAATTATTAATTCTTTAAAAAATGGCACTAATCTAACAAGTGAGAGAGTTTTGCTGAAAACCTACTGAGCTGTAGATAAAAAATTTTTCCTAGGCGTTAAGGGTTTTAAATTTTTTTTTCTTTTTCAACAAGTTTCTAATTTTAAAATGTTTGAGCTTGGAAAAAGAAAGTTTCAAAATTCGTTTGAAAATTTCGAAATTCATATGAACTATTTTGTAATACCTCACATTCGCTTTGAAACTATAATTTTTTATTTCTTTTAATTTTTGACATGGAATTTGATATTTTTAGATGAACACAGTGTGTATATTACAAAATTCCTTGGCTATTCAAATTTTTATCCTAAAATCTTTTATTTGGAATAAAGTTCATATAGCATATAACTTTTTAAAACCCCACACCATTATATCCTGTTTTTTAATTTAACAATAATATACTACAACTAGGCCAGTTCCTAATTAGCTGAATATAAAACTGATTAGGGGAAAGCTGGACAATATACACTGTTTTAAAAGTGGTGGTTCAGCTAAAAATTAATCTATATTGGTTAGAGATGAGTTTGAGCTTTACTTGTAATAGCTGGAGATATGCGTAAAGTAAAGGCCAAATTTTCTAGTGTCACAATGTTTATTGTAATATTTTTTAGTCTGATGCTTAAAAGAATAAAAGTTCTATATAAGCTTTTAGCTTTATTATAATTGTCTTAAGTTGTCCACATTGATGATTTTACTTAGTAATTTTCTATTTCTATTAATTGAGATTGATATTGCATGCTGAAAGTATCAGAGTTTTGTAAGTCATACTTAGTTTTATCAGATACTAAGTAAATTAGTACTTACCCATCTTAAAGTTTGGTCCAATATTGGTATCTTATCCCATACGAGTTGAGCTTTCATCCACCAACCACCATGTTGAAATAAAACCCTTAATCGCATATGACCAAAGTGCAGTGGATAAAATTAATAGTTTTAAAATTATTAGGAAATTGTACATAAGTTAGTTTAAGTCAAAAATTACACTTTTTACACATAAACCTTTAAAACTTCTCAACCATATTTCTATTGATTGACTTGTTTTTTACCCCACATGACTCCTAGAAAGAAAACCATTAAAATGTTACCTTTCTTGTCTGTAAATAACAATGTTCTACCCCTCTCAGATCCTCTCTCCCTCAGTAAACTTCAGATATCCGTTTAGGCTTAAACCCTAACTTTTAAAACAAATCCCAGTTTTCCCTTTGTAAGCCAGTTCCTGTACCATAAAAAATAACTAATATGGAAATAATTTGGGGAGACCTGAAATTCTTTTNTTTTTTTTTTTTTTTTTTTTTTTTTTTTTTTTTTTTTTTTTTTAAATTCTTATTTTTGCACTCAATATCGAAATATGAGCTGCAGTGACTCAGATTTGAATCCCAGTGATGCCCGGTTTATATGAATTCTACACACAGCTCGCACTAACTACAGTGCTGATGTAAAATATGCTTAATGGTAGATGGATTGTGTTTTAAAGTCCCCTTGCCATCGTGCTAACTGTGGGGGGTTGTGGTTTTCCTATTTCATACAATACAAATGTGGGTTACTTCTATTAACCATTTCTACGCGAAGGCTAGTTTCTCCCAATGCTTGGTTCAGGGCTTTCCTTGTCTTCGAGGTCTGGTTCAAACTTAGAAGGCTACGGATTTGAACTTTGGTTACCGTAGACTCAGAATTGTGTCAGCTGTTCAATGCTGGTTATAAAATAAAATAAAAAGAAATATAAAAATCTTAAATTTTCCCATCCCTCAGGAGAACCATGGTCCCCATCTTAATTTATTCAGCAGAAGAGGGTTCAAAAGAGTAAGAAATAAATAACTTTACTGTTCTATCTAGGCATCTTGGGCATTGATTATAACGTTTTATTTGTTTATTTTTTACTCTTAATCGAATGATACCAAAATCAAATTGATAGGAAAAATAGTTCAGAAGTTATAATCGATTTTAAATGTAGTAAAGTATTAAAAAAAAAATTACAATTTCAGACTATATATTTTTATGCCTCCGAAGTACCTATTTAGACAAATGAGATATTTATAAAGGAAGGAAAACAAAGCAGAAAGAAATCATAGCTCAAAAATTATTAAAGGTTTTATGTCTAAAAAGAAAATGGTTTTATACTTATGACTATCTTCGGATAGTGCTATATCCTTCTGACAGTGCTATATGCACAAAGCATTCAATCCTATGTATCTTATCACACTGAAAATATGAACAAAATCACTATAGTTTAGAAGCTATTAGAGTTGTAATAGTTTTACGTATAAAGAGTACAAATTTTTGTTTTTATGTAAAAACTATAATTTTCTTATTTATACTTTGGTCATTGCTATCTAGACAAATCAGGCATTGTTTCTTATTTGTTCAAATAAAATCAATAATACCATTTGTATGTCATTTGAATTAATAGTTTCAAAATTATAACTGTTTTATTTATTTATTTATTTTTCGTAAAAAATTACAAGTAAAAAATTTATTTTAAAGCTAGAAATTCTCAAAACTTCTGAAATATTAGTCATATCGACTTGGTTTTGATTTAATTTGATTCGCTGTAAAAATAATAATAATACTTTGGAAGCAATATCAGAGGT